CACGCAATGGTATGTTTTTGCATTTACCGGGTTTCAAAATGCTTGAAAGTTTGTTTTTCGCTATATGACGTATGTTCTGAGAAATTTCGGAACATCCTTTTTCTAATCTTAAAACATTTTCTCTCGTTCTTATTGAACTTTAAAATGGCTTTTTTAGCTTTTCTGAATTTAATTTTATTTGCTTCTGAGCAAATGTCGGACGTTATTAACCGACGTCGGTCTATTGATAAGTGAACTCAAAACTTTTCTCTCATGTACGGTTTATTGAACTATTTTTGTTTACCAATCTTTGCATTACTACGTAGCCCGACAATTTCACATCTTGTATGTTCAAAATCCCTGATTGTTTCTAAAATATGAATGAATTTAAATTTAGTTCATATCATGGGCATGGTGACAATTTGGTTAATTTCGAAAGAGTAGCTTTTAAGCAGATAGTCGCCATCGTTTTTCAAAAAAAAACTTGCATTTTTTTCTTATTGTTGATGATTCACGGAAATCTCTGTACAGATTGGGGAATAAATGGCACCGCATTGGGTTTTCGCATAAGATATAGATTTTAAAGCACTGTCTCCATTGTCATCTGTCGCAGGGTTGGATGGTAGCGAAAGGGAACTTGATGGGATGAATCGGAAAAGTGGGAGCCTTGCATCAACAGAGAAAATAGAGAGGAAAGATGAGGACAATGTGGAACACGAGGTATGGTTTGACCATCACAACTGCCTCACTCCTGTTGGAAAGGACGATGATGAGGATGAGGATGCGTTAGCCTATCGCATGCATCGGCAGGATTATTATGCACGGAAACTCAAAATCGACATCCGTGGAGACTCGAATCGAACCTCGGAGACCTTCATGGAAGCGGCTCTGTTCCCCATCTGCCAGCAATACATTAAGACTCTGCAATGGGTGCTGAGTTACTACTTCAAAAGTGTAGCGGATTGGAGTTACTATTACCCCTATCACTACGCACCCTTTGCTTCTGATCTCCTTATTTTTACAAAACATTTCGCCAAAGATTGTGCAGACCACAACAAAATGAATGATTGGACTAACTTTTTGCCCTGCACGAAGCCTTTACTACCCTTTGAACAGCAAATGTTCATCATGCCGGCTATGAGTGCTAACATCGTGCCCCAGCCTTACAGATGGCTACTAGCTCCTTCAGGCAGTCCAGTATCCGAATTTTTCCCCGATGAGTTTGAGACTGACATTAATGGGAAGTTGGCTGGCTGGGAGGCTGTCGTGTTAATCCCCTTTATTGATGAGGTGAGTAACGTTGTTCTTGATCACTCGTGAAGTGGTTTTTGGTTTGTATGTTAGCCAATCCATCATTTAAATTCGCTGTATTCCTACCTGCCGTAATTCCACCATATTTTCTGGTATCTCTTGCTTTTCGTAAGTAGTGATTTCGGTGAGGTAATTTGGTTGCTAAACATTTATCACTGTGTGTGCACTCGTTTGTTATGGATGTCATTCGAGGATTTTAATCAGTTGCGTTGTTACTGGGTTCTACTAGCATTTGGCATTTTTTCCACTATAATTTCATTTTAGTTTTCTTGAGCCCTACTTTCCACATCAAAGACGGCCATTGCGTTAGTGTGCGGCACGTGTAGCAGAACTTATGTTCCACAAACGATTGTTGTAATTGCAGCTTTGTTTACTTTTCGTGAATACTGGCTTTGAGATCGCGTCTCTCCGTTGACGACTGATCATATAAAGACCTATTTTAGTGCCACTAATAGTGGTAACAACCTCAATCGCCCTTTTTATTGCATAGGCGAAGATGCTGGCTGCAATGGAACCCTGCACAAAGCTGTTGTCTCCGGAAGACTCTAAAAGAAACGTGCACCGAGGTCACTTTATCCTGCGGGTAAGAGATAGGGAAGGAGTTGACTATCCCGCCACATTCGAATCTCTCGTTTCCGAAGAGGTCGATTTTGAGTTCTTCCGGACCCATATACTTCGAGATCTAGAGCAGCGCTTCAAAGTCTGGTACCAGGTCCCCCGGCATGTGGATCTAGTTTTTCCCAGTCTCTATCGCATACCTTTCACCTACAAAATCGCTCGTGTAGGTGTTCGGGTGGGTCTCTTTTCTTTCATAGCACTCTTCAGTTCTTCTGGAATGATTTACTTCCTAAAAAGACCTAGTTTTTAATCTTTTGAAGTCGCTCTAGGGGTTAATATGTGCAATCCTGTGATATTTACGCAATGAGGTTTAAGTAAATTTAAAGATTTAGTGACTCGAACCTAACCACTTGAATCTCTAAGATGGATGATTATTGTATTGTCGGCAGTATTTATTTTCGATATCATTCAGTCGATGCGAACCTATCGTTGAGTTATTTTTGTTGTCCTAGACCTTTTCATTTCCGAGCAAGGGTGAGAGTGTCTTACTAACGGTTAAGCACCCATCGGGTCGCAGCGCATCCAGTCTTGGATCTCTGAAGAGCGTGGCTGACAGCTATCTAGGAAGAGCCATTCTCACCGGCTGGCCATACTCTCGTCTTGTTGTACCTTTCGCTCTGATGGATGAAAATGAAATGTAAGCTCTTCTGTTTGCACTGTCTGATAAAACTGGCAAACTTGAAATTGAGCAAGGCAACCGGTAGTGAGTTGCTTTCATCTGGTTTGGGAGTCCGTAATTGTTTACGTTACCACTGTACATTATATGGGAACTTGGTTTTTGTTGAGCGTTATTCATAGGCATGGTGCCTGAAGTGATCTGAGACTTCTATTGGCCCACAATTTTTTTGTGATTGGGTTATCCTCGTATGGAGAATCACGATCCGAAAGTGGACTGATACTAGGTCTCCACGTCGCCTTAGAAAAGGGCTCTTGTATTCTTTGGTTATTCATCGGAACCTTAGTTGCGTGCTTCGACTACATGGGAAAGATTATTTCCCAGCAATCTCGCGGTGGAAGGGCATTTAATCTTAACTATATTTCAAGTTGAGAACCCTATGCTAAAACCTAATTAGTCTTTTCGTTGACAAATAGGTTTTCTACTGCGAGCGTAGTTTGTATGCGAGCTGTTTTCTGTGCTACCATTTGTCGACGGGCATGGCTACTCATTATCGGCATTGTACAGAACTGGAAATTGAGATGATTCCAATCGACCAGCATCATTGTTTCAGCCTTATTGTAAAATTCTGCGGTTTTATCAATCCAGAGCGGATGTTCTCTCTTGTAATGAAGCTGTTTTTATTTTGAGTGCGCTTTTACCTGCGCATGTTTTTCGTTTTTTCGTTTTACCTATCTTCTCCATATCAAGAACCTTCCATTTCTTCTCCCAGATAGTTATCACATATTACTTCCTCAGCGGCAACTTGGATACCAAGTCTGGATGGTAGTGTGGTACGAGTCACACATACCACTGGCTTGTTCGCTTATCATATGATGGTGGCAAAATGGAACACTGAAAAGAGCCATTTGTTGTGTAGAATCAGAATAGGTGTCTTTTTTCCTTCCCAGTTGGGAATTAGACATGAAAGCTGGCACGAGCAACGAAAGCTCAAGGGAAGCGATGTTGGTGGTGGAGCGAACGTCGCTTCGAGAGCATTCAGAGGCACCCTTTTGGACATCAATGCGTTGGCTACACTCGCAGGCAGAGTATAGCATTTCGCGCTTGCGCGATTTCTGTGCCATCACCTTTGCCGGTGAAGAACCTCGGGCCGCCCTTCTTTGCCTTCCTCCCTCTAACTGCGTCTTCTCCGTCGTGATCAGCGAATCGTGAGCCCCTCTTATTGAGTACTTCTCTACCTGCTATCAGGCATTTCCTATCTAAGCTCGGGCTGTGTTCAAATACTGGTGTTAAATTGCGCTTAGCTTGGGTACTTCTTCATTACTGAATCTGGGCTTCCATCTCAGTTTTTTTGAACTCGTTCCGGTGAATACGGGCTTTCATTGTATTGGGCTTTTGATATTCCCAAATCTGTGCGTAAAATGTGACATCTTAATTTAGCTATGAAAATAGTGGTGGTAGATGGCTTTGCTTCTTCGTCCCTTTCTGATTTTGAACTTTTGTTGGTTTATAATTCAAGCATACGGTCAAGCGCACCTTTAATTCTCTAACTGCTTTTATTCTCCCCTTGTTGGCCTTGTCAGCATTGTAGATACCTCGAACGTTCTTGCTTCTAACCGATTGCCTAATCTGCTTATTCGGTAGCAAGTTCGGTTGAGTAAGGCTTTTAGAAGGTTCATGAACTTTTCTCTTTTTGGACGCTAATGTAACCCTGCTCTGTCTTACAGTAGATTTTTCATATTGCCTCCTAATCGAACTTTCTTAGTTGTGTTGAGCATACTATCTTAGCAACCACTTGTGGTTTATAATTAAAATCAGAGGGACAAGTCGGAATTGCTTACATTCAACTTAAAAGTTATCTACATAGTCTCAGCCCTTTTATTATTATTTCCTTATTTTCGTTCTTCGTTCAGCGACCCTTCCCAAGTTGGACTGCGCCCGCTGCTCATGCATGTGGCACCTTTGCTGAAGCAGCCTACGGCGCCCCGGACACTTCGCCGGCGCCACACGCCACTACAAGCTAACAAACGGTCACTCTGCTCCGACGCTAACGTCAGCATCGAAATAGGTGGTGAAGCAAGTTTGGAGATCCTTGACCTCACTATCGATCCCTCTACTACACCTTTCGTTAGATCTCTACTCGACGTCTTTCGTCTCGCCTCCAAAGCTCTCATCTTCACACAGCGTGAAGACAGGTGTTTTGGGCGCGTCGGGGAAGTAAGCCTGCTGATCACTTTCCTTGTCTCTCCTATACTCACTTTGTGGTGCCCAAAGTACTATAGGAGTATTCGCTGATTCTACCACTCGCTCTTGTTATTTTCCATTCACTTTTCATTTTTTCGAGATTGTGGGCTCGACGACTGATAACAAGCTCACCATACAGCTCTTCCCCGACCCTCCTCTGGCAGAGGATCCGTCTCTTTTTTCAGCAGCTGCTCTTGTGAGTAGTGTATTTTATTTGATGTCCTTACGAATTCTGTTAGTGTTCTTCACTAGCTTTATTACATAACACTTAATCGTTAGTTAAATTTGTCTAGTTTACTCATTTCTCCTACCTATACTGATTCGACAATAATTAGAGTCTTGCCTTTAGACTAATTTGATGGCATTCCGCAATGATTTGCATGAACTAAGCTATCTGTTGATGGCAATAAGTTTTAAAATCTTATAATCGCTGATTAAGGCTGAGACCAAGTGTATACGTATATGCAGGATGCGGATGAATCAAGTTACCTGACGCCGATACAGATATCGCAAGAGCTTCGCCTCACACAGCACATTATCCACCGCATTATTGGGAATTTCATGGTACGTGTGCCGCCGTCTCCAGACAGCATCAAGCATAGACGGTCCCGCGATGGTGTGTTGGAACGCAGTAACCTGGCTAATATAGGACTCTCTCTCATTCCGCATTGCAAACGAGCCTGTGTAAGTCGTGATTGCTGCTCTAACAGATAGCTTAGCTTGCATTTATAATTTACTGCAAACTGCTCATTACCTAAGAGAAGGATTATTGCCGAACTTTTTAACCGAATGCGTTGTTAAACTGGCTTTTTATTGCCAAACCATTCAAATTGCTTTAGCAAGTATTAAACTTAATTCTTGTTTGGTCTCCTTTTACCATATCACATAATCTACTTGTTTGCATACGATTTATTTTATCATTGAAGATCGTAGGATGGAGTCGCTACTCCAAATCAAAAAAGATGTGGGTATTTTCGCCTCGTACCGTCAGCGCGATCGCCAAGTACAACCAGCTCTTCCCCACTGTGGTTAACTTCATTGGGGCCAGCAATATGAAAATTCCCGCCTTTGAAATGAGTGACATTTTCCCCATAAACACCTTGTAAGTTGACCTAGTGGTGTGAGCACTCCCTTGATGTTGCACTAAAGGCTTCCTTTTCTCTTCATGTGCACAGCGAGAAGTACTCTGAGCTGCGAACGTTCCTGCGCAGCGAGGGTAAAGGCAACCGGATAGTGACGGACACGAACGCGCCCCCGTTGGACACAGAGGGCCTTTCGATTGTCAAAAATCGTCTCCCTTCTGATGCGTGCTTCCGTATGTCATCCTCCAGGGAATGTCCTTGCATTGAAATCGCCCCCACTGACGTCTTTGCGGTACACTTATGTGATGTTTTCTAGTGTTTATATTCCCGAATTTCGCATAAAATCTTAGAGTACGAAGGGACCTTGTTCTTACTGATAGTATTCCCAAAGTCAGCATCATTCAGGAGGATATAAATGTATAAGGTTTTTCACAAAGTGTATTCTGGTTATCAACATTGACGACCTCTGCTCTGACTCCCTTACTTCTGATTATCATGTGGGGAGCGCAACAGTTTATGTGCTCACAATTCATATTATTGTATTGTATGCTTCAGTTTTTAATCTCTTGCAGGTTACGAGCTTACATGCACTCAAATTTGTATTTTATGCAGTGTGCAACTCCATTGTTTTATTACACTAAAATATTGCAATTCTTGATTACTTCTGATTCAACGTAAGCATCTTTTGGATTCCGGGTCACCTTGGTTGTCGCTGTAATTATTTTGTTGCGTTTGTGCTGTTTAAAAAATTGTTTCTTAGGTCCGTGACTCTTCAAACACAAATAGATTTTTTGATGTTGTGGATGTTAATCCATTCTACTCAGGGACTTTTTTGAGCATATTGAAGGTGGAACATCTGAGCTTCTCCAAAAGAGTATTATGGAGAGGTTGTTGTTGAATAAGCTTCTTAATGTAAATTGTCGAATATTTTTTTTCGTTATCACCTCCGTTATGTTTCTTCCAAAACTCAAAACGAAGTCGAAATGAAAGTGTCCAATTTGTTAAATAAAGATCAAAAGTAATGTATTTCATTGTTCAAGACAATTTAAATTGTCTTATCTTGTCACACTTTTAGAAGTACCTTTGATGATGCTTTTAACAGATCTTGCCTGACGGCGGTCGTGTCGTGCCACAGGGCTATCAAGCGTGGTTGAAGCGGCTCGGAAAGAAGTTGGAAACATTTGAGCTGCTAGACCGGGTCATGTACGTCGGTCCGCAACGCGATATTTTCGGCCTTTGTGGCTTTGTCGTTGGTGTCTACTTAGTTCTCGGTAAAGAGACTATTGAGGTCATGTTTGATTGCACATTTGATGGTGCTATCTCCATCAGGCAAGTTTCTCATATCCCCTCCTTACAAAAACCTTGCTTAACCAAATGAGCTTTGGCAAATTTCTCTCCCTTCGATTAAA